CCATTATCTGTTTCAATAAAAGCACAAAATTTTGTAAGAATTTAGGACGCAGTTCAGATTTACTAGTAGACTGTGCTAGGCTATGTGACTGAAAGCCATCTACATGAAGGCTGGGACAGGATCAGATAAACAATGTTGGGGCTGGGGGGGAACCCTAGCAACCTAATCAGTGGAAATTGGGTGCAAGGAATTGGCTACACCTAATTCAAACCATTGTCCCTTGTGTGGAACCCACCAGGAGAAATCAACCAACCAAACTCCCTTTCCCATATGCCTTGCAGGCTGAAGGGGGTATAGCACTCATTAAGGGATGCAGGGGGATGAGAATCTGTGGAGGAAAAGAAGAGGTCAAAGTGGACGGAGGAGGAAGCATGGGAAAATACAGGGAAAAGGGGAATAAAGAGATGAGTCAAGTGTAAACTAGTGGCTTGTTTGATTGGGATGCATGCCTGATCACCACTGTCTACCCTATATTAAGTCCTATTTCTATCATCTGTCTGAGTGTGCTCTGTTCTAGGTGGGTACATTTGGATGTTAGTGAACTTTCAGCTGGATTAGGCAGCAAGCAGTAGGATTGCAAACCTCTGCTCATATGCAACTCCCCCTGCAATTGGGGAGACCAGAGGATTTGCAGCCAGCTACTGAGTCGACTGAGCATCTAAGGCCAGCTACTAGAGTGATCCTTTTTCTTTTTTTTTTTTTTTTTTTTGTGTGCAAATACACATATACATATATATAGCACTAGCAGACCTTTGTCTGTGTTGATGTGTGTGGCCTGTGTGTGTGTATTTATCCTGTCCATGTGACCACCCACCTGGAGCAGCTGCTCAGCTTTGCTACTGGCAGAACCTGAGGATATGGACCTGCAGCAGCCTCACATCTGTTGGGCTACCTGATTCAGCTGCTTCTAACAGGCTGAAATCAAATGTTTTACCAAAAAAGCCACTATGTTTAACTGACTGTTCTTTATCATCCCATCTGACTACATTGTGATGTGAAGGAATACTTTAGATGGGCAATTTATCTGCCCAAGCAAGAAAAACTATTTATACATTAAATTATTAACTTTGAAATTACTAACTTCATCATCCCATTTCTTAGAAAATCTTCTCTCTTTAAACAATTTGAAACAAAAAATATTTTTACAACTAACATTAAGAATGGTCTGGATTGCCTGGAGACCAGGAAGGAAGCTGCACTACTCAGTTACCAGGGTATTCTTTTGTTTGGTTCAATTTCAGAAAAGCTAATGAGAACAATAAAAATACCATGAAATTATCTGGCAGCTAGACATTATGCTGTTACAGAGGATCAGATTTAATTGAGGGTGATAAATGGTTTATTTTTTATAGGCATATGTAAAATATTGTAGATAACTTACAACTGAATATGGCAAAAATAATGTTTGCAGTGAAGTTACTGAACCATGACATAAGGTGGAAAGTAGTTTGAAGATGGAGCTCAATTAGTGCTCCCTGTTTGAGAGAGGACAGAAATCTGGTTCTCAGTGTCTGTTCTGGCATTTGACTCAAGATTGGCTAAATAGAAGAATTGCCCCAAATACAAGCTGTCTTGTAGATCTAGATCACTACACAGAGATGTTTTAAAAATCATGCAATTGTTCCACGTTTAAAAGGAAGGCTACTTCTAAGAGAAAATGTATGGTTATGATCACTAAATAAAAACAAACTTTCCTCTACTTTTTCTGATTTCTACTACTTGGTACTACATCAAAACATAATAGTTTTAACCTACCAGCAATTTTATTCTGCTTCTCATGACTGCTTTCATGAGGAAGTGATATCATGAACTGGTGATGCATCCCTACATAATATGACTGACATAAAACATGTTTTTTACCAAAGCTACAATAGTGCCATAAGCACTGGATTATTCATATCAGCGATCGGAAAGGATCGGGGTTGGAAGGGATCATGATGACCTTACCTCCTGCATTAACCGGGACAATGACTATCACACAAGTATTTCTGCATCAAATAATCATTATTCAAATCACATTTATTGTGGTAGTCCTGAGAACAAAGGTAGAATTCACTGTCTTAGGTACTGTATTTTTGGTTTGAAACTAAAGATTATTTTAATTGCAAAATATCTTCAAAATAGCCTATAAACTGGAAACTGCCTATGAAGAATCAGTTTTGGAAAATTCACCTCTGAATGTCATTTCAGAATGTCACAAATTCTTTTTCAACCAAAGCCAATGCATGCAAATTTACAAAATTCTAAAATGAACAAATACCAACACAAAACATTCGTTTTGAAATTTTCCAGTAGAACATCTTCTGAAATCTAAGCAAATAATTTCAGTTTGATTGTAACTTTTTTTTTTTTTTCAGTGAAAACATGTTGGAATGAAAAATTTCGATACTCTTTAATTATACAAAGAATTTCAATGAGCAATGGGATGGCATGAAATGTTTTGCTGTTTTGACATTTCTGGGGGAAGATGCTGGTGTAGAGGTGAGGAAGTTTATTGCAGAGAAACTAAAATGACTAAAACTTTAAAGGAAGCAAAGGAACAGGACTTTGAAAGTAGTAAAGGGAACACAATAATGGAGAAAAGTATGAAAGCTTTATGGACTGAATCTGAGGGAAAG